AGATATTATTTGGAAATTCCAATGCAAAAAGTAGAAGGACATTAAATGAGTTGTCTGTCACCAACAATTGTTAATATATTTTCTCAATTGAATTTAATTACAAATTCAATTTTATTTAATATTTTTTTTATTCTTTTTTACCAAAGAAAGAAAGGTTTTAAATATTTTGTAATGTGAACACAAAACTAAAAGTGAAGGAAAAAGCGATACATCAACAAACTTGCGAAAGAATGACATTCTTTCATAATATAAGATGGGAGATCAACCATTAGTGAAAGTCCATGCTCAATTTAAAATTTGATAGCAATTTGCTGTCTTTAGTCTAACAGATGCGTGATACATAGTGGGCCTGGTTCTTGCTAGAATCTTCCTCAATAATTCAGAATTCAGAGACAGTTCACCTGCAAAATTAAATTCTGATATTAGATTATATATATATATATATATATATATATATATATATATATATATATATATACACACGATAGATTCATTTGATACTAGTGTTAAATTTTAAATTTGACACCTTATCTTATAGTCGTTAGATAAAAAAAAATCAATTGTGTCACATGTTTGCAAATCATTATTTTTTTTGATCTAACGACTTGCAGATGAGTCAAAGGATCTTTTATATATATATATATATATATATATAATGGTGTGACATGTGATACAAGCCCAATCACAATCATATAGATAATGTTGATGAAAATTATTTTTTTTATTTGTCAAAGAGACGTGGATATATAAATCGGATTTAAAATTTATCATAATGGTGTGACATGTGATACAAGCCCAATCACAATCATATAGATAATGTTGATGAAAATTATTTGTTTATTTGTCAAAGAGACGTGGATATATAAATCGGACTTAAAATTAGAGGTCAGAATTAGCAGAGCGTCACTAAATTCTAAATTAAATAATGTGTGTATTATTTAAGGAAAAAAACTTCTCATATTACCTTTACTTCGATATATGTACTAATCATTTTTTTCTATTTTTTTTTAAATAAGTCTCACTTCTTTCTCTCTTAATAAAAATCTTCAACTTCTCATATATAATATGAGAAGTTGCAAGTCCATTATTTGACAATTACAAATTCATCCCATATCACTTACAATTAAAGGTCCCTAGTTCAATTCTTAAAAAAAGTAATTTAAGATTAATGATAAAAATCTCCTTGCTATACACAAGAAATTAATTTCATTGCAAAGGATATGAATAATATTACATTTGATGAAGTCATAGAGTGATCCTCGATTTAAAAAAAGATGAGACATAAATAAAGAGTCAACAGGCTTCTAGCGGAAGGAGTATATAAATAAATTGAATCAATATTTAAATAAAAAAGATTCAAAAACTGTGCATATATAAATAAATTGAATCAATATTTAAATAAATTGAATCAATATTTAAATAAAAAAAGATTCAAAAACAGTGCAAATATGAAACTTTAAGAATATCTTAAAAAAATTAATATATATTACCTATATTAAAAATATTCGTAGTTAAATATACTTGATTTGAAATAATTCTGATTAGTTATTTGGATTGGTCCAAACCCTTATATAAATAACTATTTGCTGGGATTAAAAAAAAGGCAATTTAAATATGAAAGGGCATTGTTAATTTTTTTTTCTTCCTCCAATTCATTCATTACGTCATTAAATCATATCTAACCCCACCCAAACATCTTCATGTGCTAAACAAAAGCTTGCGATTTTTTGAGGTATAGTAAAACAAATTGCACACACATGCTTATACACGTGCTATGATATACAGAAAAAAGTTATGAATTTAATTTAAATTTTCTTTCACGAGATAACACGCCTTAAGAAATAAAAAAACATATTAAATAAAAGGATAAATATTTAAGATAAATAATAAATGTTATTTTTGTTGCTTAGTTTGTGCTTTCAAGACACATTTAACAAAATCTATTTAATTTTAATATATTATAAATATAACATCCAACAATGAAGTATCAAATGATAACAATCAGTGGCGAAGCCACTTTAAAATCAGCAAGCACAGACTGGTTTTGAAAAATGATTGGTTTTCTTTTTATAGAACTATGGAAATAACAGAGAATTATGAAAATAACAATTTTTTCCATAGCTTCCTCGTTGATACTGGAATTTTTTTTCTTCAGGAATTGATATTTGGCAGGGGTTAAAAAATTTATCCGACTCCTGATCACAATAAGATTACATGATAATATAAAAACAATTTTACACTGATAATGTATCAAAATTAAAGTAGAAAATTGTTGTATACAGTTGAGTCTCGTGTTTACACGTGATAAACATTTTGGTAATAATTGGGTCCATTAGCCTAATAAGTGATAAGATTAATGAGTTTAGATCGTGAGATGGGCCATCATCAACATAAGATCATATCCGTGTCCATGGTGGGAGACAACCACCAATAGGCTAAACTATGATAATATATTAAGTGGATTTGACACCTTGTCTCAATTTAAAATCTTAAAACATTGAGTTCATAGGTCCCCCACTTATATACACTTTACTTAGCCCATTATCAACTAATGTGAGGCTCATTATACTTGAATATCTCAACAAGCGCCCCCTCAAGGGTGAAACCCACCATTGGTGTGCTCTCTCTCAACCGAGTACTCCAAACCCAAGTACTCAACCCGCCTTTAGCCAATTACCAGGCTAACTTGAGCCCAATCCAGTTCTGATACCACTGTTAGGCAAGTCCAGGAGGAGCCCGTGGAGGATAGGGTTGGCAAAATGAGCTCGGCGGGCTAACACGCCCGCCAAACGGGACAAGATGGGCTGAGTTTTACAATTTACTCTCAAAAGCGAGGCGGGTTCATTTTTGGCGGGTTGATGGCGGGGAGGGGCATGCCGAGGAGAGTCAGTGTAAAATAGGTTCGGGCCGAGGGATCGAGTTTTTTAACCCATTTTCAAAAGTGAGGATGGGCGGACTAGCTTATTTTTTGGCGGGTCCCCCACTTTGAGGCGAGGGACCACAATCAATAAGCTAAGCTAGGCTAATAATATCAAGTGAGTCTGACACCATGTTACAATCCAAAACCTTAAGTTAAGACATTGAGTTCACAGGTCCTTCTACTTATATACAATTCACCTAACCCATTATCAACCAATGTAAAACTCATCGCACTTGAATATATCAACAATTCGATATATTTAATACAAAGCACAAAACATAGAATGATGAGTTGTGCATCAACTATAGGATTTGCTAAATAATACTTAAAGATTGTGTTCTGGTTGGCCCCAACTGGCTGGCCCATTAAGACAGGCCCAATCCCCTTCCACTTATCCACATCAGCCCTGCTAACCTTAGATTACCAATCCTGCCCTCTTTTTGTCCTCATGCGACAGATTCCCCAACATAAGACACTAAAATATCCTACGTTAGGATGCTACTTTCCTTTGATAGACCTCCCAGACTCCCTAAATAGATGCTTTCACTTCACAGCTACAACAACAACTGGCATTAGCATAGCAAGAACCGCAAAGGGTGCTGCAGCAGTAATGTCAGGCGCCCTTGACACTTCCCAAGGAGAGTTGATCTGGCTCACCCTCCTATGTGAGTAAGGCACCCTCACCCCCCCTTTTAAATACCTCCTCCATCACCAAACAAAGGGATCTGATCTCTATGTGTCGTTACCCTGCCGATTTCATGAGTCCAAACTACAACTCAACACCCCCCCCCCCCCCCCCCGCCCCACATTTTGCTGTAGAACATCATATATGGGACACCATTGTCTAGCTTGTTCTATACCTTTGCTGGAAGTGATACCCCTACAGTGACTTTTACCCCTCTTAAGGGTAGATATTGGGTTTGCAGCTCTCAATGATATAGATTGTATATGTAGAAGTTACAAACTTTGCCATTGTAATAAGAATTCATATGAACACACACACAAAAATTGTAAACCTTTTTTGATGATCGAAATTTTTTTTTTGACCTATATAGCGTGCACTTTCCCAACGATGTACCATAAAACAAGCCAAGTTTGTTGTATGAATTTTCAATATCAATTTTAGGGAAGATATGCAAACGAACCTGCATTTTTCTTATGCTAAAATTTTAAGAATATTTTTTAAAAAAAATAATTGTGAATACTATAAAATTAAAAAAAAAATAGTTGAATTCCTAACAAGCATATAAAATTGAAGGCTATCTATCATATATTAAGAAAGTTATTAATATTCATATTTAGAAAGTCCACATATAAACATACTTATATAATAGGAAAAATTGTTTGTCCTTTTAAATAACATAATTTATATCATTTACTCTCATAAAGAGGTGAGATCCATATTTTTTTTTTTGTTCACTCTCACCTTTTATTTATTTCTTTTTTTCATTTAAAATAACATAATTTTACATTTTTAAAATGACACACACTTCCCCCCGTATAGTAAGCACATTAATTGAAAAAGTTGGGATGCACTACTCTGTCCATAAGGTATAGCTTCACAAACCAAATCAACTAATTATCAAATTGAACGAACTATGTATTTATATATTTTTAACTACATATTTATTAATTATTTATCAAACTGATTTAACACTTGCAGAAAATAACGTCTAACTAATTATTTATCTAAACTTTATGTTACATAACCTCTGAATACAAAAGTTGGGAGCGTTTGGTAAGCGAGAATTCCGAAAACTGAATTTTTTTAAATTTTAAATTTACAGATATTATCATAAATTAAATGTAAAAATTATATTTTTGAAAATTAAGATTTTCGGCTAAAAAAAAAATTCTCATGTACCGGACGCTCCCAGAATCCAACAAATAGATCATGCGAGGCTTAATTTAATAATTTTGTTTGAAAAAATGGCTATACAATACTGAACTCAACCGTTAACCCCATGGAAACCAGTCATTAAAATCCCCACCAAACTTTCTTTTTCACAGGAATTGCATTTATTTAATCTCGCATAGATATAAAGCTTCTATTGGATCCAGGCTTCTCCACGGACACAAAAGGAAACCAAAAGATTAATATGGGTTTCATATACATAGCATGGCTACTGTTAACCCATATTGTTATGTTGGTTGCAGAGGCTAAGAATGTCCCAGCCATCATAGTTTTTGGAGACTCATCTGTGGATTCTGGAAACAACAATCAGATAGCAACTGTTCTGAAGAGCAATTTCAGGCCTTATGGCCGTGACTTTGACGGTGGCCGCCCCACGGGACGGTTCTGCAATGGCCGTGTTCCACCAGATTTCATTGCCGAGGCTTTTGGCATTAAACGCTATATACCAGCTTACTTGGATCCTTCGTATACCATCAAAGATTTTGCCACTGGTGTTTGTTTTGCCTCTGCTGGAACTGGATATGATAATGCAACTTCTGCTGTACTAGTGAGTGCCTCTACCCTTTCCCAAAGTTTTTAATTTCCCCCGAACATAAAAAAGAGACTTATTACCATCATTCCATGTAACATCTGTTATTGGAATTCTCACTCACCTTGTATATCTTTGCCTTTCGCTTGACTCAGCTCCTGCATGTTCACGTGACATACTTTTCTTATCCTTCACAAAAGTTCTACTTTAATAATCTTAATTAATTTTACGTTTGTGTGAAGAGCATTCAAAACAGTGACTAAAGTGTCATTTTTTTGGCAAATTTTTTATCCAAATGTCACGCTAACAGTATTTTTTTTTTCAGACTGTCACGTGTCATAATTCACTACCACTATTAGCGAATTTCGTAGCCAATAATTTTGTGACACGTGGCTATATTGCAGACCAAATTCGTTACTACTAGTAGCGAATTATGACACGTCAGCTTTTTTCTGCGAAAGTGTGCCACGTGTCATAAAATCATTGGCGAACGTAATTCGCTACCAGTCGTAGCGAATTATGCCCACGTAATATTCTGATAAAAAGTATTGTTGTTCGTGTTACTTTTGGAGTAAAATTTTTGTCAAAAAATGACATTTTAGTTACTGTTCCGAAGAGCATGTGCCAGGCATCCAGCTTTCTTATTGTAAATTTTTATGTGCTCTCAAGTTTGTACATTATGTCAAATAAAATACAACATCTAACACGAAAATTAAATGTGTCTTTAAATGATTTGTTTCTTGTATTATTCTGAAGTAAACTTAAATTTTTTTTGTGCTAACTGTATATTACAGAATGTGATACCACTATGGAAGGAATTGGAGTTCTACAAGGAGTACCAAGCGAAGTTGAGAGCCCATCTTGGGATAGATAAGGCAAATGAGATCCTTCGTGAGGCGTTGTATCTGTTGAGCTTAGGAACCAATGATTTCCTTGAAAACTACTATTTGTTGCCAACCCGAAGATTCCAATTTACCGAGACACAATATCAGGATTTTCTCTTGGGCATTGCAGAGAATTTTGTTAAGGAATTGTACGAACTTGGAGCCCGAAAATTAGGCATAACTGGGCTTGTTCCCATGGGGTGTCTACCGCTGGAGAGGGCTATAAACATTTTGGGTGACCATGGGTGCAATGAAGAATACAACAATGTGGCATTGGGCTTCAATAACAAGTTAGAGAAAAAGATCACAAAGCTAAGAAAGGAGCTCCCACTATTGACACTGTTGTTCGGAAATGCATTTGACATCTTAGCTGATATCTGTGAAAGACCATCCTTCTACGGTATGTACGCTTTTTGTATTTGCAGTTGCTTATGTTATTATTTTTTTTTTTTTTTTTTGGTACATACAGTTGCTTATGGTATTATTTGCTTTAACTTCTGAGCATGATTTTGTTTCAATTTTTTTTTCTTTTCAATTATGAAGTGATTCATCCGAACTCGAAAACTTCTCTCTTCTTCTCAAAATATCCCTCAGTGATTCAAAATTGTGAATAGGTTAATTATGGGTAAAAATTTACTTTTATAGCCTTGGTTTTAATTGCAAAGACTAGAAAATAGAAATCCTCATAAAATTGACAAAATAAAGCTATACAGGGTTAATATACTGCATAGTCTTCCACTCTTCCTTCGTCTTTAATTATATTATTTGATACCCATTTCTTTTTCTTATATGGTTCATAACTACTTGTAATTTTTATTGTAAAAGTTAGCAATTTTGATATATCATATCTATCAGGATTCAGGACACTATAGCAACTCTCATGGTATTTTGTTTGTTTTTCTTTTGAGTCCTTCATATTTCTTTAGCAGTTTATGTAGTTTTTTCTTTTTCATTTGTTTTCCTTTTGAATCTTTCATATTTATTTAGGGATTATATTTATCTCATTTTATATGACATAATTAAATTTTTTACACACATAAAAAATGAGTGAGTCACATTTCTTTTCTTTTTTTTCTCTTCTTATTTATGAATCTCACTTACAATTTTATTTCTATAATATAAGATAATTATTTTCGTACAATATAAAAAAATTATTTCCCTTTATTTAATGAATGAAATTCAACATCAAATGATTTGTCAAGAAAGTGTAGGACCTATATGATTCAATGCTTATGGCAATATATGTGCGTGTTTTTATTTTATTTTATTTTAGAGTAAAGTATCTTTTAGATCTTCAACAAAAATTATGGGACTCATTTTAATCTCTTAGAAAAAATTGATTTGTAGTCTTTTTGAAATTCAAAATAAATCCAGTTAATCAAAATCGTGATCCCTCTGAAATTTAAAGAAGACCCACGTTAGTTTCTTAAAAGACTAACATTAGTCTATTTTAAATTTTAAGAAAAATTATGAGTCAATTTTTTTTCAAAATAATTAAATTGAATTCTGTAATATTTGTTAAGAATCTGAAAAATACTTTACTCTTTATTTTATTTTATTTATTTTCCAGACAGATAAGTTAATTGAGAATATGAAAGTTGTACTAATAAAGGAAAATATTAATCTCATGTCACAAGAGATAACAACTCTCTCATATACACTAAAAAAGATATAGGTTTGATCACTTTAATTTTTTTTCTCTTTTTGCGTATAATGAAACCCACGTAAAATTATGAGTGTAACATGAGATAAATATAAATATCCTCTTGCATAAGAAAATATAATCTCATTAATAAAACCCATTAATAAATCGTAAACAGTTACTATACTAGCGTTGCTGTGGTCTTGTGGAAGTGTTATTATTGATGTTCGTACGTATTATTTTGGTGGAACTAAGCCTTGGCACTATTTTAGTAAATTCAAGTTTTGCATTTGTCCCATCGTGAGTTCTTTTAACCTACGGTCTGTTAACTTCATAAGCCTCGGGTATTTATGGTATTCCTGCCCTGAACCAAGCTATCATACATGCACATGGGTGTTGCTTGCAGACCCCATGAAAGCTACTACCTCCTACACCCTGGACTTTGTTTTTTGATGGGTAAATTACCCTATGGCTTATGCGCTTGTCTTGCGCTTTAACTAGTGGTCAACTAGGGCCTTTGTGTACCAACTCAACGTTTGGCTTTGTTTTTACTTCTTTATCATTAAGAGTAGTAACTTCTGGAGCCTCTGACACACAAGATACAGACAGTACTGTGGTGTGTCTGCCCACGAGAATATGGTGAACTGTATCGTACGTTTTGACATTTCATACTAAGCAAGAGGAATTGAGATGTGATGGCATATATATGTTCGATTTTTTTCATTATTATTTTTGAAAGAAAAATCTTAAACTCTATTTGATTGTTGTTTTTAAAAATTGTTTTTTTTTGTTTTTTGAACAAAAAAAAACTAAAAAACTACTTTGCTAAAAAATGTTTTGAAAATTATAACTGTTTTTTGTTTTTAGAATCAAATTTAAAGAATATGTCTGAGTTGTTTTTGTTTTTTATTTTGATTTTTAACTTTTAAAATTAAATAAATATAAAAAAACAACTGTTTTCATAATTATTTTACAAAACAGTTTTAAGAACAAAAAAATCAGAACACAATCAAACACAATCTTTAAATCTAGTTCTAATCAGATTAGTAAAAAAGTAATTAATTGATTGAAATATTTATAAAAAAAAAAACTTTGCATCACATGCACGACTTATAGCGATTAATGTTTTCAATTAAAAAGTATCAAAAATCATAAGCATTTTCTACTCTTGTACATTCAAATGGCATTGTAGACTAATTAAAAATGCCCAAAATAACTTATTAGGATTGATCTAATAGATGAAGGGTTTAGATAGCACACATGAGATTGTATATTCGAATCTCAGTCCCACATTTGTATAAAAAAAAAATGCCCAAAACCCTTATCAGAAGAATGTCATTAGGTTAATTTACATACCATCTTTAAATTTTGCAAAGATTTTTTTTTTTTTACTGAGCAATTGTCCACCGAGATAAATTTAAATAATTCATTGGGTTGGGTTAACACATCCTGTTAGTTTTGGTAGTAATAAGATATATAGATTAAGGTATTATTTTTTTGTGTTTATGGTAAAATAATGTTAAAAAGTCGAAATTTTGAATAGACAAACATTATACATTATCATTTTCTTAAAATGAAAAAAATAATTATGATGATACGTGCGAAGGTCTCGAGCCCATTTGTATCATATATAAAGTTAAATATTATTGTTTTAATCTATCTTTATATATTAAATTAAAATTATTTTTTAAGTGGTTAAATCTCTTAGTGTACTCTTTCTTAAACAATCATATATGTGATTCATAACTTCTCTTCAGTTAAATTCTCTTAAATTAATTATTCATATCTTGATTATAATTTTAAATATTTCTATTTTATATTTTTAAATTCTACTTAAATTAATTATGCACATCTCTTTTAAGTTTATAATTTTTTTATGGGTTTGTTTTCTCTGATGTTACTTTAGATAACTTTATCTAATGTTCATCAAAACGACGTCGTTTTGGGACGGAAATCGTGGTATTTTTGTAATTTTAATTTATTTCAGGGTTATAATAGTCTTTATCACTCTAATTTTTTAATTTTTCAACCCCAAAACGACGTCGTTTCGATGAACATTAGATAAAGTTATCTAAAGTAACATCGGAAACTTTTTTTCCCTTTTTTTATTTATAATTTATTTTACCTGGATTAAAAAAATTTATAATTTATTTTACCTGGATTAAAAAAATATCCATACAAAAAACGAAATACTTACTATTTAAAAAAGAATAATAAGTGACATGGATACATCATAATTTTAGTACCAGGGATTCCACCTTGAACCATTATTTTTTATCATTTTTTTCTCATAAAGATTGTTAATGTAGGTTAAAAAGATTGTTTTAATTGTTACATTATCACTATTAAATTAACGCAGGGGGAATCCAATTGGCTATCTCCCTTAAGAGAAGTTCTATTTGATTTTTAAGTTTTGCTTTTGAAAATTGTTTTGTAGAATTGTTTTTTAAAATTATTTTATAAAATAAAAATATTGAAAATTTATTTGATGAATTTTATTTTTGAGAATGAATTCAAATGCTTTGGTGGAGCAATTGCAGCTTGACGGCGGTGGTACACAATTGTTCTTATTTTATTTTTTTCTTTAAAATCTAATAATGGAGAATAAATTTTTTAAATAGTATAAAAAATAAGTAACAAAAAAGTTTTGTTTTATGTTTTAATTGAAAACAACAAACAAAAATCAAACAAAATCTAAAACTTAAGACCTCTTTGTTTTGTAGGTTTGGTGTTTGTCATTTTAAATGACGTAAGTTATGTCATTTTAAGAGAGATAGACATAAAAAATAGAAATCATGAGAGAGAAATTTCTTATGTCTATATCTTTTTTAAAATAATATAACTTTATGTCATTTAAAATGAGAAATATTTTTCTTCTTTTCTTTTATTTCGTGCACTTATGTCATTGACTCATTGTGTACTGTGTAATACTAGTACTCTATCTATTCTCCAGACATTTGCCTTATTGATTTGTATGACATTGTTAATTACTTTTGGGTCCTCCCTATATAAGCAGAAGCATAAGAACTATAGAGTGTGTTTTATTTACGAAGTTGATTTACTGGAATGATTTCTGCTTTTTGTTATCATTCAAATTTCCAACTTTAAAGTTGGAAATATATATATAACTTTTTCTGTTGCTCTTTTAGTTTATATGAATTTCTTGGTTTAGTTAAATTTGAAAAAATGTAAATAAAAAATGCATAAAATGCTGACACTGAGATATGGATATATATATTTCAGGATTTGAGGTTGTAGAGAAGGCATGTTGTTCCACTGGAACATTTGAGATCGGCTACTTGTGCAGCGACAAGAATCCATTTACATGCACTGACGCCAGTAAATACGTGTTTTGGGATGGCTTCCACCCTACCGAGAAGACAAACCGCATAGTTTCAAATTATTTAATTCCAAAGCTTCTAGCAACCTTTAAATAGATGATCCATTATTTTCCTTTCAAAAATATAGTTTTACTGTGATAATTTAAATATATCCTTGTCTACCAATATCCTTCGGATGCGACATTTAATATCGATTGTCATGCCATATATGTATACTATTTCTACTTCCAATGTTACCACACACAAAAAACATGTAGACGACATAATTTTAGTGTAAAATTACGAAATAAAATACTTGTTGAAAGAATTATTTTTTGAAGAATAAGTTTGATGCTTGTAGTATTGTATTTACCAAAAGTAATTTTGTGAATTTTTTTTATTTTCATAGTATTAAATAACTAACTTTTTGAGCATTAAACTACTAAACGATTATTGAAATATATCTATAAAAAACCTAAAGTATGGGTTTTTAACACCTTTATTATCTACACGGGCTTGGGCTATCATCAACATAAGCCCAAGAAAAAGAAGAATCCTCATAACTGTGACTAAAATTGCCACAAATCATCAAAAAAATTTATTCAAATGGCACGTAAATAATAAAACTTTCTAAAATATCACATGTACAAATTCGTTATAACAGGTAACAAATTATATTTATAAATGTGACACATTTCTTATAACTACTTAATTTACTATTAGTATTAGCGAACTAAGTGATTAAAATATCATTTTGCTTTTAAAAAAAGCAAAACACGTGACAGGCAACGACAAATTCGGTATGGGACCTAGCACCTAGCGAATTATGAGAGATAAAATAAGTTGTTGAAATGGCATCATTTTTACAATGAAAAAATCGAAACACCCTATCTAAACTATATAGCTATTTTGCAGTTTAGAAAACAAAATCACATTGAGAACATCAATGCAGTTTTTAATTTTAATTTTTTAATTCTAAACTCCCAACATTGAGAAAAAAACCACAACAGTATAGAGAATGTTCTATTTCTTATTCTACAAACAGTTTTTAATTTTAATTTTAGTTTAAAAATAACTTATAGTTTAAAATAAAATGCCACAAACAAAAGCAACTAGACTTTGTTATAAGCTTATCTAAAATAAAAAAAATAGTTTTTTAAACTATTATACAGCTAATTAAATAAATATAATTAGTTACGAAACAAAAACAATTACAATTTTTATTTATGATATTTTAACTAGATGTTTGACAGATAAACCGTCATTATTTTTCTCTATAACCTGACCGCCTTTACATAGGATGCGCAAAAAAGACGTTATTGTAGAGATGATATCATATAAACTATTGTCCAAATCTATTTCAAATTAAAAAAAAAAAAATTATCTTTTCATAATAATTCGTTATTAGCTTTTTCTATGTACATTAGATTAGCTATATAATTCGTTATTATCTTTAGCTATATTATTAGTTTAAAAAATCATTTTTTTATTTTAGATAAGCATATATAACAAAGTCTAGTTGCTTCTGTTTGTCACATTTTAATAGTGTTTAAAATCCCACTTTGCATTATGGGTTGACCCGGGTCAACCCTGACCCCTCCCCTCTGATGGTTGAGGTCACAAGTTGGACCTTATATGCACATCGACCCCACCGACCTCTAAAATCCGGTCGGGTTTCAGTGACTCCCGATCAGAGGAGTCAAAGGAGGTCACTGCATGTTTTTTTTTTTTTTTAAAAAATTCCATGAAACAACTTCGTTTTATTAAAAAAATAAAATAAAAATGCTTGCAAATCTAAATCTAATTGTTCTCTTCTCTCCCAACGACCTATATGTCTTCAATCTTCACCTCACAGACGTGAATCTTCTAGAAAAGGTAAGAATTTTATCTATTCAAATGAAAACCTTACGGTCGTCGATGGAAAACAAAAACTCATTCTTACTTCCTTTAAATTTTTCTTTGTCAGGGACCTTCTCCGAAGAGGCAAAACCGGGTCAGCGTATTGATCCCATTAGAATATGAGCTTTGTACTTTGGTATCTTGAAACTTTAATTAGGTTGTGTAATATTGACTTATGGTTGTAATTAGTGAATTACGTTAAGTATATTTTGAATCTTTAATGATTGGTGATTTATTTTTTAATATTTATATATATATATATATTTAATATATAAAATCGGGTCAGCATAGTGACCCCGTGACCCCTCGGTTGAACCTGTGACTCCATGACCCCTGACCTCGGCCGGGTCGATGGTCGGGCCGATTTTTTAAACACTACATTTTATTTTAAACTAAAAGTCATTTTTAAACAAATTAAAATTAGAGTTTAAAAATTGTTTGTAGAATAAGGAGGATGTTCTTTACACTGTTGTGGTTTTGTTCTCAATGTTTACAGTTTAGAATTAATAAGTTTAAATTAAATTCTGCATTGATGTTCTCAACGTGGTTTTGTTTTGTAAACTGCAATGTAGCTTTAAAATCCGTTTGGATGAGTTTTTGAAAAAAAAAAAAAAACTTTTTACGAGTTACTTTTTTAAAAGAACTTTTTTTAAAAGTAAAAATTATTTTACGTTTGGATGCGACTTTTAAGTTTAAAAACCATTTGGATGTTAAAATAAAAAAAATACTTTTAAGTATAAAATGAGTATTATGCCCTTGTGCATTCAGCTCCTCTTCGACTAGCAACAAAACAATGTCAGATTCGATAAAGCAACCCAAATTGAAACCCTGCGAAAAACATTGAACACCTATGAAACAAATATATTCTTTCCTATCAAACATAAATTATTGTCGAAGGGAAAGGGAGATGTGGCAAGTTCAAAAACTCAAAGGAACATCAGCAAAATTAAAAATGCTGCAAAGCTACCCAATGTCTACATTTCTGAGAAAATTTCTTGAAACAACCATAACTGGAACACAAACACAAAAAAAGCCAAACATAATCCTCTCCCAAACAACAAGGTGATAATGTAAACAGTCCCTTCGAGAGTGGGTTGAAGCAAAAAAAGGAGAGTACCTCAAAGAGGAGCCCAAAGTGAGAAGTGTCTGAACTTGAAGATGGAAAAAGAGAAACGGTGAAAGATGTCCAACGAAATAAGGGGTAGAATGCGTCCAGAAACGTGGTTCGATTACTTCTGGCTTCTCCTTTTCCTAAAAGTTGAAAATTGTAACTTTTAAAAAAAGTTAAATTTTGGCTTTTTCATTAACTTTTGCTTTTTTTAAAAGTCATTATCCAAATACTACAAAAATTTCAGAAGCATTTAAAAAAAAAAAAAAAAGCTTTTGATTTGGAAAAAGCCTATCCAAACATCACCTTAGAGTTTAGACAGAGAAGATAGGGACATGTGCGAGGGTGTTTCAAATTTTTAATGTAAAAACAATGCCATCTTAGTAACTCATTTTCTCTCTCATAGTTCACTAGGTCCCATAGAGAATTTGTCATTGTCTGCCATGTGTCCTGCTTTTGCTCAAAGCAGACTGATATTTTGGCCACCTAGTATGCTATAACCAATAGAGAATTAGGTGGTTACCAGAAATATGCCACTTTTGCAAATGTAGTTCGCTACCTGTTGTAGCGAATTTGTACGCGGGGCACTTTGAAAAAATTTACTGTTCGCGTGGTATTTGTGCAATTTTTTTTTGAGTAAATACCATTTTTGATCCCTAACAAAAAATTCGGTCCCCACTTTAGTCCCTAACAAAAAAAATTAGTCGATTAGTCCTTATGAAATTCAAAGTGGACCCATTTTAGTCCTTTTAAGAGACTAATATAGGTCTTTTTTGAATTTGTGAGGGACCACGATTTCAACTAAATAGGTCCACTTTGAATTTGTTAGGGACCTCGAGACTAATTTTTTTTATAAGGGACTAAAGTGGGGATCGTGTTTTTTGTTAGGGACCAAAAATGATATTTACTCTTATTTTTTTAAATATGGCACTTTGGTCGTTGTTCCAAAATTCTTATCATCATCATCATAAAAAACACTATTATCATAAAGATAAGATATATCGTACACCAAAATCGACCTATACGCCATTCTTGAATTGTCTGGATGTTTCAAATTATCAATACCCTAACTGTTAACTCCATTATGGTGCCCGCGAAAGCAAAAAAGGAACTAGCAGAGATACAACGATCTGAATAAGAAGAAAGCACCATTCTTGGAAGATAAGGTTGAGGAACAGTCAAGGCTTCACCGTGGAGACCGGTTACTTCTTTCTTTTATGTTTTTCATCTCTTGTCTTAGTTTATCTGACTATGTCAGGCTAGTTAGAGTTAGATGGAACTTTTTAATTCTTAATGTTATTTTACTCTTTCCTCATAATTTGATATTCAAAATCCTTATATTATGCAATTAATTTGATTTCTATTCCTAGTTTTATTTATGAACTTATCACTTAAAGATGAACATGTAAATCTTGTATGACAACAAGGATATTGATGGAGGATTCTGACCTGATTAATTGCTAAATTTTACTTGATCTAGGAATAGACTTGTGGAATCTATAACTCTTTTGATTCTTTTCTCTTAATGCTTGCCCGAGGCAGGATCATAAAGGGATTGTGGTTCTTAATAGGGTAAAGAGTTGAAACACCAAGGGATTGAGTTTTAATTAATCTTGAAGAGTTGTCAATAACATGAGATTGAATGTCAATTGCGATAAAAGGTAGATTCATTAGGATGAAATTGGGAAAATTGTCACCCTAGCTACGTTTTGAGTTATTAATGTTTGTTCTGATTTTATGTTTTTCGTTCTTGATATTTAGTTTGTTAGCTCTAGGTTAATATTTTATATTTAAATGATATTCCCAACAACTTTAATGGTCGATCCAACTTTAGTCGTGTACTGAACTTAATGCTTGATAGGAAATGATAACTCTCCTTATCATTTTATTATTTGTACGATCGATATACTTGTCGTGGACACAACAATTATAATTTTTTATTATTACGTATTATTTTTTATTTCCTAATTTTTTTAATCATTATCTTTACATAAAATAATTAAATAAGAAATTTTACAAAAATTTTCTAATTAAAAAATATTAAGATGTTAACAATAAAAAAATTTAATAGTAATTTTATATATGTCTTTTTTTAGTAATTTTTCACATTAATATGCTTTTTTTGGGTAAGAAATATGCTTTTTTATTTTATTTAATGATTTTTTTCTTAAAATTTTGTTAGGCATTACATTCAAATACAAAACAACTTTAATTAAAAAAAAAAATACTTTTAAAAACTTTTAATACCTAAACATTTTTTTTTAAATCCATCCAAATGCGAAAATATAAGTTTGA